GCCTCCCAACCCAGGTCTGGGAGGAGGGACAATCCGGGGGGGAACCCAGCCCCACTGATGGTGAGGAGCAGAGGCAGCTGCCTCCGGCTGGACGTCACTGCCATGCTTTGCCCAGGGAGCGAGTCGCACCCTGTCTTCTGTCATGTTAAATCATGGTGAGACCCTGATTTTAGATGAGGCTTCCCACTATTCACACTGCATATGTCTTCAAAGGGGTTAATTCTGGCTGACAAATGCTGGACGCAAGCCACAGACGTGCTGAGCGAGGGTTTTGTGCATGCTCGTGGGAAGAGCCAAGGATTCATCGGGGTCCCTGACTACCTATTGGACCAAGGGACTCAAGAACAACTTGCAACCACAAGCACACTTCAATCCCTGTCTCATCATTTCCATTGTAAAAACCTCAGGAAAACCACAAAACAGGGAATGGATTAACGTTTTACGATTGTGACAACATGACCAGCAGCACGCGCGAGGGCAGCGAGACCTTGTCCTCACGTAGGGAAGACCTGAGAAATTCCCAGCAGCTCATGCTCACGACAGCTACGGCCCATCTTTACCCAGGGCGTGAAGCAGAGGCCTTAAGCCAAAGTCTCTACACGTTCCCCCAGCACGCAGGCAGCGCTGCTCAGAGCAAAGCACAGCAAAGCCAACCTCAACCAGAAAAAGCGCCGTGTCCCATCAGGAAGGAACTGGTACCCTGTGAGGCAGACCATGGCCGTGGTAACTCTCCTCTAGCTCCTACCACACCAGGACTAAGCTCTGCCTCCCCATGGTCTGTCCAAAGCTGCTGCCTTAAATTCCTTGCAATTAACCCTTTACTCCCTTCATGCAGTGACAAAACGGAGCTGGAAATGAGGTCAGCATGTTGCACAACGTGTTGGCTGCCCGCAAGAGCCCGCGAGCCTACACGCATTTGCCCTGATTGCTGGAAGAGCAGCCTGCCTTCCTCCAAGTGTTGGAGCAGGACAGTAGTGGTTACTCCACCCTGTGTGTAATAGTTGGTAAACAAGGTGATGATAAAATAAGCAAACTTTTTCACCTAAACCACAGTCATGATGAAAACCACAGGAGCCCCTGTGGTGGGAAGTAGTGGTGTGCAGAGCTAGTGAGTTGCGCTGACCGGGAGATGCTCTGTAGCAGCCATACTCACACATGGACTCTTGGACCATGGCAGGAACAGTCCAAGACAGCAATCTGGATCACTGTACATGCTGTGTCCTACTCCTAAGTCAACAGCCTCACTTACTTTTGGGCACAGGAGGAAGACAGCTGAGAGGTGGTCACCTCAGGATGCCTTAGGAGAACCTTCCCCAGACGCTGCAAACACCTCCCTCACGGCAGCTGAGCACACCACACCACCAGGACCACCACCGCATCCTCCCAAACCACGGCAGGATGAAGGGGCTTCTCTCCTCCTCCACTTCCTTCTCCACCCAGCCCCAAGCCCCCTCCTTTCCCCTCCATCCCACACTCCATCCCCGCTGCCATCTGTTTTTCTACTGCTGACGGATGTTCTGCTGGCCCTCAAGAGGCAAAGTGTGCTCAGCGCTAACTCGTATTCCTGATGGGCTCCTGGAAGGGTTTGCAGCCCTCCCTCCCTCGCCTACTGAACTACGTGCCTCCCTGCTCCAGGAAGGATGGGGAACTTGGCGAGGCTCAGCGAGAGACTGGGAGGCAGATGAATGACCAGCTTAATGGAAAGAGAAGGGAGGTGGGGAGAGGAGGGAGAGGGATGAGCAGTCAGGCTGATCTGCTGCCAGAGTACAATAAAGACGAGTGAGAATCCCTCTAACACCATCATCAGGGCTCCAGCCAGGGCTGGGAAGGTTGAGGCTTGGCTACTGCTGCTGTGCCCTAGCCTGAAGTGACTCCACCAGAGAGAGACGGGAGGAGCAGCCAAGTGTCCCGGATTTCTCTTCTATAGGGTTGTTCGCCTCACTTAGGCACCCAGATGAGAAAGTTTCTTCATCGAACACAGTCTCGGCAGTCGATGGAGAGAGAACGGCGTCTCTGAGGAGTGAGCTGGACATTCCACTGCCGAGTGGTGAGCAGCGAAAGGGCTCCTAAAGGAGGTGTCTCCAGTGAGGAAATGAGGAGGAATCTAGGATTAAGATGTCCCACGGACACAGCAAGTCAAGCTGAATCACATCAGAGCCAGCAGTGGCTGTATTCTGCAGGGGCAGAACACTTCTTGCGCAGGTAAATGAAGAGGAGAACATGGAAATAAGATGGGGGGAGCACCAAGGACTTACAGGGTAATTCCAACTCTCGCCGACTGATGCCTCCACATCCCATAAGAGATTGAGTCTCAAGTGAAACTGCTGCTGAGAACTGCAACTGCTTTTTGGATGGCAGCAGGAGAGGAATGAGAGTGGAAGCCAGCGTAGATGAGGTGGAAACAACATTCAAGGCATTTCCTTCAGTCAAACAGGGCAGGGGGCAGACAATACCTCCCTCTCCTTCCCAGTGCAGAGCAGCAGCTCTCAGGGCAATACTCTGAATGAGATCACTTTCGTAAGAGTTATTCTTTATGGTAAAACAACGACTACCATAAAAACTCATGTAGAAAAAAGTTATTTCTGAAGACTTGGCTTATCAGTCCAACCTTAGCATTGTAGAAGAAAACTCGATGAAAAGAAAAACCTAAGACACGTTTGTAAGAAGTGAGGAGGAGGAGAACAGAAAGGAGGCTGCTGTGAGCTGTATTATAAAGGAGAGCATCAGGGTGAAAGAAGCTATCTGAGGATGAACCTTTATTACTATTACAGTAAATGGCTGTGACCTTAAGAGGAGGCTGCTGTGAGCTGTATGATAAAGGAGAGCATCAGGGTGAAAGAAACTATCTGAGGATGAACCTTCATTACTATTACAGTAAATGGCTGTGACCTTAAAAATAGCCCTGTGCTGACAGAACTGTTAATGAGGAAGAAGGCACTGTTCCACGGGGGAGGATCAGGATATCTGACAAAAAGTTAGATGACCTGAAGGAGTAGAGAAAGAAACAGGATGACATTCGCTTGTGTAAAAGTGGAGGGCAAGCTCTTGTACTGATGGTAAAACATCTGCTGTTAGCTCGGAGTTCATCGGCTGGAACAAAAAGGAGGTAGAGAAAGATCTGGGTGTACTTGCTGACCTCAGGATATCTCTGAGCTGCCAGACTGATGCAACTGCAGAAATAACAGATATAGTCCTGGGTCCTATCAAAAGAGACATCTCCAGCACAAGGAAGCTGTGTGCAGGGCTTTGGTTAAGCCTCAGCTAGAAGACTATGTACTACTTGGTCATTCCTGATGAAATATTAATTGAAACCAGAAACAGCATTAAAAAGTCTACAAGGGTGATAAAGAGCATGGACTCTCTGTCTTCTAGTAGGACACTACAAGATTCTGGCTTGCTTAACATCCTGTCTGCTAAGATTGCTGTCTAGGATTGCTTTCTAAGACTAAAAGGGGATGACAAGCATCCAGGAACAGAGGATCAGAAAGATGTCGTGCTGGTCGTGAGCATGTTTGCATGGCTGAAGACAGTTACTGTGAGATGCTGGGATCAACAGGCAGTTGGTCCTTATCTATCTCACACACACACACAAATAAACTGACGTTTTTCACCATCCCCTGCAGCATTTCTTGCTGAAGACACAGATCCAAGGTCAGGTGCAGGAACCACAGAGGAGGAAAGGCTGAGGTCAGTCTGGTGTACCTGAGCCTATGGGAGCACATTCACACCTCCATCAGCTTTCTCCCACCCGAGCCGCACAGGAAGGGAAGAAGGAGCACCTCACACCCCATCTGTTTCTTTTTTGGAAGGATCAACTCCCAAAGAGCACAAAGAATGGTTCTCCCTTGCTAGCAGAAGAACCACCAGGAATATCACCACACCAATTTGGACTGCTCTTCCACATGAATCCATCCTACCTCAGATACGCTGCCCCAGAGCTGAGCTAAAGGATGTGGTTTAGAAAGATCTGGAGCTCTCAAAACACCAGAAGATCCGTCGCTAGGCTCTGGTACTCAACCATCAAACACTTCTCTTAACACACAGCACCTCATTCCCCCAAGCTTGCAACCCATGCCTTGTAGTAGACATGCACAACACAGTTGGGGAAATAACTGCTGCACTTTCTGTTGACCATAACATTTCCTTCCTGAGGCCATGACCCCCACAACATCACCCTTCTCACACACTTCAGTCCACATAGAGCTGAGCTAGGCAGAATCGGTGAGCAAAAACGATCATTTACATTGAAATAAGCACACACAAAAATAATCAGCAAAACCCAAAGCTATTTTTGGTGTGCAAACTTCATTTACATTTTCCTTTTTGGTAAAAATCCCATATTTCCAGCGTGCAATGCTCCAAAATCCCCCACCGTTTTTCCTTTTATCCTCAATCATAATAACAACGCGTGCTTGACAAGGGCTGCCTATTTTTAATTTCCCTTGCGAACTGACTCCAGGCTGCCTATGATTTTCTCCTGCCTGGTCATTATTCAAAGCGAAACAAGCGGCTAACCGATTTCTGCAAGGAATTCTGCGTCTGCAGATTCTTCAGGAGTGGTTTGTTTTGCATGTACAAGACTGGAAATCCTGGTTGTTTTGGTTGGACGTGCGAGTCACGCGGGGCTTTTCTGGATCCGTGTTACTCTAGAACTGCGGTTCTGGTTAAGGAAATATTCAGGCTTGGAGTCAGCACGGGTTTTTGGGGATACCCCTTGCCAGTGAAATCCTCTTGCTAGAACATTCTTCCTGGACTGGCCAAGAAGAAGCAAGCAAGGCAGGAAATGGGTTGTTCTGCAGCTCTGGCTCCCCAGCATCGCCCTTGGCTGCAGCCAACTGTACCCAAGTATGCTTGCCTTGGTTTCTCTGCTCTAGCCAGCAAGCGCTGGTCCAGCTGGGAGCAAACACAAAGTCAAAGCCATCTGGCTTTGTGCTAGAGTCAGTCCTCATTGCCAGGAGCTTTCCTGCAAGGAGCAGGCAGCTCATACTGGAGAGGCTTACCTCGCACGACTGGATGCAGTGAATGACGGAGGGGTCCGGGTACCACCGCAGCCTTCCCGTGCACACAATATGCTGAGGAGTGAAGGGGAAATGAGCTATTAGGAGAGGTACCAGAGGGAGGGGAACAGCCACCGAAGCTTCCTGGAGGTAGAGGGTCTCCCACGACATGGCATCGAACAGCAATGGCACCCCCAGGACCCTCCCCACGCCTCTACTCGTTAAACCCAAAGTTCATCCGCAGACATTGCTCAAGGCAGAAGCTAGATAGACCTCTGTGTGTGGGTATGTAGACACATATATAGATGAACAACTGAGAGAGAACACAGGGAGATGGCAGGGACCACTAGACAAGTGAGTTGGGCTGGCAGAGCCACCTCCCGGTGCCTGACTTGGCCACAAGTTGCTTCTGGGAGGAAGCCACTCAGGGCTGCAATAGATTGAGTTTGCCATTAACTGTTTATGTGATGTTGGATTTAGCAGCTTGTCGCTCGTATGGGATGGGGGGGCTCAGCTTGTCATCACTTGGGACCTACATCAATTTGCTCATTGACCCCCGCTGAGGCTCTAAGAACCAGGTTCCAGGAGGACCTACCTCCCTAGACCTGGCCTGAAGGATACTCCAGGCTCACGTTCACTTGCGGGGCTGAGGTTATCATTGGTATTTACGAGGCACAAACTCAACTGTTGCAGCCAGCTGGACGCAAGAGCCAGATGTGAAGAGCTCGGTTTCATCACGCTGGAACGCGTCTTCCCACTCGTTCAGCGGGGGTTTGTGGGGAGCACTCATGATTATATGGGGAGGGAGAAAAGCCCCACCGCACAGGCAATTTCCTCCTTGTAAAGCTCAGGCAGACTTTGAAATCCGAGGCCCCATAAAACGATGGCTGGCCCGTCAAAGTGTCCTAGGATGCCCTTCACGGTGCCGGAGTCGCACAGAGGGCTGCGTATACTTTCTCCTAGCTTCCCATTTGAAATGTGGAGCCGTCAGGGATGGGGCAGCTCTGCCCACGCTGTTGCACATACTTCTGCTGCATGTTTGGTCAAGACTGTGATGGGGCAAGGACAAAGTCCTGGCCATCCTTGGCCAGCATAGGGAAGGCAAACCTGGAGAGAACTGACCTCCAATGAGGCAGAGGCTGGGTATGCTGGCTGAGCTAGCCAATTCCTCTTTAGCCCAGAGGATGTTTGCATCATAACTCTATGCTGGGTAGCTTCAGGTGTGGCTGTTGTGCAACTTGAACAGCCTTTTAGTCTACTCTTAATAGTCTACTCAAGACCCAAGCTAGGAAATAAGGGCAGAGGAACAAACCTGCTTGGCTGCGAGATGCAATGAATGAGGGCTGAAAGCAAAACAGGACCATGCCCTGCCTGAGTGGCCTCTGCATCTCCCTGTGTGGTTTGTGCCATCCACTCCACCACCTCGGGAGTGCAGCAGCTCCCGAGAATGAAAAGCTGTTGGAGGCTTGGAGGAGCAAAGCGAGGAGCCGAGGCAGGAGCCAGTGCAGAGAGGAAACCAAAAAGGCCCAGGGAGAGAGCTCCTGGCAAGGGGGAGAGCCACTTCTTAAAGTAAAGCCTTCCCTCCCCCTTTCTGCAAAATACTCCCCTGCACGAGAGCCTGCAGTGGCCACTGCCTTAACGGGCCAAGCCATCCGATCCCTCAAAGGCAAGGATTCCTTCCAAGGCTCGTGCTTCACCACCCCACATGCTCTGGGCATCCTCACTCCCCACCGTGGCAGCGAGCCGTCGTGGGTCTGATTCAAGGCGACACACAGTAGTATCCACAAGCATGATGCTGGGCCTCCTGCGGGTTCCCAGGAGGAGGGGAAAGTGTTTGGATGAGAGCACTGGCTTCTGGGATAGAGCCTTTGCTTTCTTTTGTTCCACTTCCTTTCCTTATGCATCGCGTTTTTTATTTTAAGAAATATTACCCCAGCTGAGCTGCTTTTTGGGAAAGTCATGCCCATGAGGATCCAAACTATTTGAGCTATTTGAGCTGGTTTGCCTACAGAAATGAGTAAGAGATGGGGAGGGAAATGCTCCCCTTGGTTCCAGCAGCAGGGGCCAGCAGGTCCTGGCAGCAGGAGACACCTTTCAGCTGACAGTCCCCTCCCTTGGCAGGGAGATACCTGCCTGGGGTTGAATCTCAGCTGTAAGGTAAGAGAGGACCCAGGCTCATGCCATGCCAGGAGTGGTTTTTGCTCTCCTGGCGTGCTGGCTGACAATAACAGCAGCTCAGGCAGACTTCAGGCCATGAAAAGTCAGTGGGATTCCTGTGTTTAGCTTCATTTGTCGTGGTACCCTGCAAGTCCTTGAAAGCTTGCTTGGGTGTGGATAACTTCTGCTGAACTTTGGTGTGGGAGTGCAGGAGCATCCGCAGGGGAGCGAGGACCTCAGGACTGGAACCTGGTTATGGGGAACAGCAGCAGGTATCTCCAGAGCCTGCAGCCTGGGCAGCAACTTGGAGAGGGCCAGCCTTAAGCTAGCTTAGGCTGCTTATCTTTCCAAGTCTTATCCCTCTTCACCTAAGGCAAGGAAATTTTAGTTAAAAAAACACCAGAGGAAGAGAGACAAAGCGAGGGGAGGACGGCTCCCCTCTATGCTGCCATCAACCCCCCCCGCTAGAGGCATCCACCTCCTTGTTTACCTGGACTCTGGTGGGCTGCAGGCGGTGATCCATAGTCTCAGCAGTTACGTTTTCGGGCAGTATGACGGGGTCGCTGGGAGGTATGATACAGGAAGGTGTGCAAACAGCACCTGCAGGGGGAGAGCGAGACTTGAGGACTTTGTCAAGAAGCCAGCAATGAAGTTCTACAGGAGGGCACCAGACCCAAACGTGGAGGCTCCTCACTGAGCGTAGAGGCAGACGTAGAGGAGATCCTCATCCTCCCAACCTAGGATGGCAATTCCTTCCCCAAATCCTGAATTGTGAGAGATCCTACAGGAGTTGTGGCCAATTCCCTTCTCCCAGATAAGAGGAAAACTGAACATGCCTTAAGAGGTACATTCAAGCCGTGATAGCAGGACCCAGCATGAAAATAAGTGTAACCTGGACACTACAGGATGTTTGTTGACATATTAGGAATCATCTTTCATAATTTTTCTGTCCCGCTGAATGCTTACTGCCTTCCTATGACTCAGGAAGCAAAAAAGCTGCAAAAACTACCTTGGAAAACGAGATGGGTGCCAGCCTCACATCAGGTCTGTCCAAAGCTTGACCTTAGCAGGTGCTGCCCTTGGATTTGCCTCATCCTGTTTTGATCAGCCCCAGATGACTGGGGTGTTTGCTTCAGAGTGACATGGGCTTTACTTAAGTGTCCTGCCCAGCAGGATGCCAGGTGAGATGCAACCACCGAGATCAAGCATTGCAGCTTTTCCTGAAAGCAGGAAGCAACCAAGTCTTGGAGAAAGAAATGGATGATGTGGTCCCTCATCTGGTGAAAGCACCCTGTTACACATGACTGTCACTGTGGCTTTTACGTAGGACCTGCCACATTAATCTTGCAAATGCCAGCACTAGCAACAAGTGGAGAGATCTTGGGGGCAGGAAATGGAGGGCAAAAGATTAGGAAAATTGCTGCAAAACCCCTGGGTTGTCCCTAGAGATGAGTCCCTGCTCCTTCTTAAAAGAGAGATGGTTACACTGGAGCCAGCTTTAGCTTTGAGTCTTGCCCATGAATACAACCAGGGCACATACAAAGCTAAAGCCACTCCTGGCTCTGCATTTAGAGTGAGGATGGAAGAGAAAACAGGATTCTTCTCATTGGTTTAGTAAGGACTGGTACAAGAAGAAGAGTCACCGTGACCTTCAGCGTTCTGGGAGGGTTAAATCAACAAGAAGTTTGGTTTTCTGCTTAGCTTTCATCTGCCCTCACCTATGCCATGCCCTTGCTCGCACTTGTACTCCACGAAATTGAGCTCTGGGGGCAGTGGGCAGGTGCCCCGCAAACTCTCGCACAGTTTGAACTCCTCTGTCCACAAGCCCTCCTTGGTGCAGACGATGGGAACCTGTGAAGCAGAAGGAGAGCAGCCAGCGTTACTATCAGCAGCAGCAGAGCTCACCCTGCCTGGCCATTGCCCAGCTCTGGGGGGAGAAAAGTGCAAGGACCCCAGAGGGAAGTTCTCCAGGGCAGCTGGGTTGCAGCCATCTAGTCTGGCCTGAGTGTGCTTTGCCCTGCTCACCACAAAGCAGTTTGTTTTCCAGCTGCTGCTGGATCCCACCAGAGTGAACTGACTGTGTTTCTTTGACAAGATCCTTCCAGCAGGTTGGGTGTGAAACCTGGGTGGAAGAGCCTGGCAGGCAGCAGCCTCCACCCCCAGGCAAGCCCCTTGGTCAGCAAGCCTGCTGCAGAAAGGTTGCCCGTCATCCCAGGTAAATGCATTTGCAGCAGCTCCCAAATTGGCTGGAAACCCTCTACTTTTACTTTACAATCCTGTTCACTTGAGACAGCCAGGCTTGATTAGGACTACTGCTTTTTGGAAGGGTCACCGAGGAGCTGCACACCCTGTGCCACACCTGGTACCCAGCAAGAAAAGCTTTGGGTTTTCAGGGTGACTGCTGTTTGGTGGCCCTAGGCATGACCAAGGTGCCGTGGGGCCCCTCTGCACAGCGGGGCATGGGGAGCTTTGTGGTGGGTTTGGTTTTTTTTAGGTGCTCTGAAGCACACCACTCGGCCGATGTCTGCCTGACGCCCGCTCCAAAGTCCCTCACCTGCTGTCCCCGTGGCTCGCAGTTGAGGACGCACTGGCTGTCCAGCTCAAAGCCCTGGGTGCAGTCGTACATGCCCTCGAAGACAGGAGGCGGGGGCTCACACACCACAGGGATGCAGCGCCCTTCTTCCCACTGCCCGCTCTCCAGGCACTGGACCTTCAGGAACTTCCTGGGGAAACACAGACGCCAGGCTGGGCTGCAGCCTCCCCAAGTGCCCCCCACCTTAGCCATGCCAAGCATCCCACAGAGGCAGGAGCACCTTGGAGGCATCTCTCCCCACGTTTGGGGCTTTCCCATGCTGTCCCATCCCTCAGCACGGGCAGGTCCTCCTGAAACGACATCCCATGCTCAACCAGGACCTTTTCTTCCCCTCGCTGCCGGGGAACCACACCAATTTAGGAGCACTGGATGCTTCTTCTTTGCACTTATGCCCTCGTTGCTCCCTGCCTCATAATCATTCCTCTTTGCCCCCCAGCCCCTGGGCTGCATTGTCTCACTGCCAGTAGATGCATACTTTGCTGGATGGAGTGAAACTCCACCAGTAAATCCTGCTGGCCTGCACCCAGCTACCCCTGAAATTCCTCTTTGTACTCCAGCCAGATCTATGAAATCCGTGCTTGCTGAGGGGCTGTCATACCATGGCAGACACACACCATCCCATACTGCTAAAACGGCCCAGGTGCAAATTACTTGCCAAAAAAACAATGAAAAAGAAAAGGAAGAAAGAAATCCAGAAACAGAGCCTACCTGCTTTCCAGCCTCCTGTCCCTGGCAGCAATAGGGACCCTGCATAGCAATAGAAATCGGGCTGGCTGGGGACTGCTCTCTCTGAAGAAGACACGTCTCACAACCCCAGGCTTTGACAGCACTGATGGGCTTTACCTGTCCCAGTGCTGATTGCTCTGTCCTTAATGAGATGTTTTCCTCCCTGCCTCTCCTCTCCTTCACTAGACGGCCTTCTCCAGCTGCTCCCCCCTGCCCTCTCCCCCACCACGGATGCCAGCAGGCAGGGCTCCAGGCGCCGCGTCACGGAGTTCATAGCATGCCGCAGGTACGCGGAGCAGGGGGGTTAGCTGGGCTGGAGGAAGCTCTGGGGGCAGGCATTAAATTGCCCCTTGTTCTGAGCAGCAGCAGCAGACACTGCACGGGGGGCACCCGGCTGTCCCCCCAACACTGAGCGCAGGGTTGGCGAGGGGATCCCCATCTGCATCCACCCCCCACCAGACCTGGTGGCCATCTGAGAACTGCTGGGTGGGGAGTTTGAGAGGTTTTTGAAACAGCTTCATCTTTCTAAATATGTGCAGCTCTCGGGGATTCCCCCCCTCTCCCTGCAGAAACCAGGAATGTGTTTTTCCTAAAGGCTGGGTAAAGGCGACAGTGGGCTCCGAGCAGGTAATGGGGAGAGGATGGGACCTGGCAGGTCCCCCAGCAGAGATCTGCACAGCATCTTCCCACCACATCACACACTGGTGTGAGCACCTAAGCTGTGGTGCTGCAAAGTCACCCCGAGAGCATTGGCCTTGAATCGACTGAAGGAAACCGCAGCTACACAAGGTTTTGGAAGGGCGGTGAGGAGGAGTGTCTCTGGATCCCACTGCGGGCATCTGTGGTGTCAGCCTACAATGTAATTTAGTTTTCTTGGTTGCTGGCTCTTTCCACTGGGATGATGGTCGCTGCCTTTCAAAGATGTCCCCATCAGACCCTGCCTCCTTCCACGTCTGAACACTTTGCTTTGCCCACCTTTAAAGACAAATGAAGGTATGTGCCATGAGGCACGGATCCATGTTGGCCATCCAGGTCCTCAAGCAGCATTTTCCCCTTCTTGAGTGGTCTGGCATCAGAGTATGACCCAGCTGGGGTAAACTACTGGGGGCAAAGCTGATGGCAGCACAATGACAGGAGCAAACTGGGAGCACAAAGAAGCATCCCAGCCACAGGCTACTTCTCAGTTCTCCGCCAGCCACCTAAATATGAGCAATGCAGCCATTGCACCTCCCTCTTGCTCCTTCCGAATTATGGCAGAGGTCCTTTGCCCAGGAACCACAGCAGGACCTGGGGAGGACACACCACAGGAACTGTAGTTTGCACAGGTGCACGCTGTGGTTTGCACTCCCATCATCTTCACTGGGGCTCCTTGTTTTGGGCTGGTGCTGGAGTGGCCCCAGTGTGGGGCCAGCACCATATATGGCCTCTCCCCAAACCTGAACCCCCTCCCCTAGACCTGTGGGGAGAAACCACCCTGCTCTGAAGGCTCACCCCACTGCCAGCATCCATGCTTGGGAACTTCAAACAGGGCTAGCCCGGGCTGACCCTTGGGTAGAAGGTGGTGTGTGGACTACTGCCGCACGTAGGAACTGAGCAGCTTATGTTAAGGCACAGAGAAGCAAAGGGAGAGGCTTTTTTTTTTTTAGAAAAAGATATATATAAAAAACAAAAGCTCACAGCAGCTTGAAATTTACAGATATACGGCTTCTTCTGATCTGGGTTAGCGGCATTTCTCAAGGATTAACAAAGAAGCCAGGAAAATTGGAGTCAAACCTTCCCCCTCCAACTGGATGAGTGGATGCCTAATGGGTAGGGGAAGCAGGAGACACGGCTGAGGCCAGCAAGGGCTGCATCTGACGTGAAGGCATGAGCAGAGCACGCAGGAACCTGGCTGGGATCCAGCCATGTCCAGCTTGGGGGGCAACTAGGTCCACCACAGAGGAACAGTGATAAATGAGCTGAAAGCCTCATCTCCCATGGCAGGAGATTGATGTGTTCAAAAAGAATAGGGGGAGGAGGGGAAGTTTGGGAGATCCACTGGTAAATTGACTGAAAACAACGCCAGCTTGTAGGAACTCCTCTGCTGTGCTCCAAACAGCCTGGTCAACCTGGGCTCTAAGTCTTCACTACAGAGGCGAAGGAGTGGAAGTGACACAGGAATTGGGTTGACAGCCTGCATTTTCTTTACCTGGCTGTCCGCGTGGGCATTTGCCTCTCGTCTGGAAGGGGCTAGATGTGGGCAGAAGCCTTTGCACCCGCCACAGGTGTACAGTGGCCCCGAAAAAAAAATGAACTCTTGATGCTCCCAGTCTAGGCTATCTTGCTTTGCCTGCTGCCATTTTTCTGATGTGTCTCCACAGTCCACTAACTCCTTCCAGTCCATTTTCTCCTCTATGTTCTCCCACCTCCTCTCCCTCTTTCATAGTCTCTGTATTCTTTGAATGGGGAGAGGAGGAGGAGAGGCTGACATCTCCATGGAAGCTCATCATGGCAGCTCTGCTGTGCTCCCTTGATCTCCAGTCAAAATGCAGGCAGACACTTTCTAAAGCTACCTGAAAAGACACGGGTGCTTGGTTACTCTTTGCTTCATTCCCTCAAGCTAGCAGAAGGGGCTCAGCCCCTCACAGAGATAGCTGTGAGATCCCCAAATCTCTTTTCTCCAAGGAATCATCTCACTGGGCAAGTGAAACAACCCCTCTGACTTTTTTGGTCCTCAAACTGAGAGCATCCTCAGTCTGAACTCAGTTTGCTGAACTCAGAAGGACTTCAGAAGACCCTAAAATTTGATGTACCCATAATGCACCCTGCTTGCACACCAGCACATCAGGAACCTGCACTCCACCAGTGCTGGCCTCTTCCAGAGCTGTCGATCACCTTCAACACCTTCAACTGACTGCTTTCTCCAAAACTGGCCTGAACAAAGAACTCTGGCAGCTCCCATCCTCTGCCTGCCAGGGCTGAAGCACCAGAAAGATTTCCAGTGGTCCAGCAACTGACTGGCCCTCATACTGGCTAGTAGGTGCCACTCACTCCACATGCCAAGAGGTTTGTACACTAGCATCAAAGATATTAGACAAATTAGTAGTAACGATAACAGAGCAAATATGAAAATGCTATGTCAACATGCATTGCTATGAAACTATAACCCACTCTTTGCGTGATGTTCCTTGACTTGTCTCACAAGCTGCTCAGACCCACAGAGAAGTTACACATCAGAGGATCCTCAGGAATTTCCAGAGGGTGTCCCTTTTACTAGAAGTTGCTGTGGCATGACCGAGAGGGCCAAACTTTACAAGCTGAGTTGGTCTGATTGCATGTCCAGTGCTTAAGATGCCACAGGCACGCAAGCTGCTCTGCAGTTTGCAAAGCGGTCCATGTGATCGTAGCCATAATCATAATTTGCTCAGCTCCCCCTGGCCCAAGAAATGCTCCTAACACTGTGAAAAGCTGTTTACAGAAACCACTTCCTTCATTACAAGGCAAGAAATCTGGCAACCACCTCCCAGTGCTCAACAAACCTACCCCAGAGCAAAGTAGAGATGAAGTCTGCATCCAATTAAAACTAGAAGGGGGTATTAAACAATTAGCACATAATTACCTGATTTGGGCTAATGTCAAGACTCTGGGGAGGACCCGGCCAGTGTCGGGGCATCTTTAGTGACCATACCTAAGCGGTACTTCAGCTAGAAGCATCGCAGGCAAAATGCTGCTTTACTGCCATCCTGCATCATGGTATTGGCTGAGCGCAGGGCTAGTGACTCACCAGGAATTTTCCCCCCCGAAGCATTGGTGGAAAAAAAAAATCTTCTCCAATTGAAATGCCAATTTTTGAGATTAAACTTAGCCAAGATGTGCAGGGGGTAAAATGTTAACCTCAGCAGAAGGCATTCATTCATTTTTACAACTCCCAGCGCCTTGATCTATATTTTATCACTTTTAGAGAAAGGTACAGCTCCAAGAATCTTCCAGCACCTTGTTGCATCTCATTACCTGAGAGTCCACACACACTTCTGCACATGCTTAATTTTCACTAAGTGACAAATGTGTTGAGGTGTACAAGAAAAATTTGCATGCTTTAGGTTAAGCACTTAACATGCATCCATGTGCAATAGCAGTTTACAGCTTCTCCCCACCTGCTTTCACCTAAACCAAGGGAATGCCTCTCATATTTCAGGAAATCTGTATGACGAGAGCAATCTGCTCTACCTCATAACCTATCAGGTCAGCTCTTCAAGACCACCACCTCTCCTCCTTGCTCATGTTGGGAGGAGGAGGAGAAAGGAAACAGTGACAACAGACCCGCCGCAGAACTTACTTCTTGGGCTTGCCCACCGCGTTCTCAGCCACGTGGTATCCAGGCTTGCACTTGTATCGACAGACTGAGCCCACGTCGTGGTTGCCTTGCAGGCACCGTGGGACCAGGAGCTTGGCGTTGGCCATCGCCGGAGGCGCATCACATTCCAGCTTGCAGTAGGCTTCAGGGAGTGACCAGAGACCGTCCTCCAGGCACGTCAGCCACTGGTTGGTTCCTGACCCAAAAAGAGAAGCAATTATGTAGGGACTACGGCTGACCCAGGGATAGAGTCCTGCTGAGGGAAGCTCAGAGCAACCAGCAAAAGTCCTCTCTAGTCAGAGTCAATACCAATGCCAAGAGAGGACAACAAATATGAAGATCGGGGACTCCATTGCATGCTTTGTCAGGCTGGGGCAGAAATTCCTTGAATGTAGACAGAAGCAGGGAAGGGACAACTTCTAGGGGATGGAGAAAGGATCTCAGTTCTGCAACTCTCCCCAAAACTCTCTCTTAAAATTCCCCTCTCTGGTGACACCTCAGGATAGCCTTCATCTGGCTGAGGGCTTTTCTGTACAACACCTACCTGTCCTATTTAGTTCAGCCCACCTTCATTCTCCTCAGGTGCTTTTTGCATCTTGCTCTTACCTACCCCTACAAGCTCTTATACCCAGCACTACATGTGCAGCACAAGACAAGAAGTATCAGGAGTACATATGTGGAAGCCTTAACTGGTGTGACTGGCAATTCAAACCACCCATCACTACAGGTCTGTGTTGAGCATTACAGCCCAACTCTTTGCTGTTCCTCTAGAGAAAAAGGCTTTTGGTAGATCCAGCTAATGGGTGGCCAAAGCTGCACAGCTCTGGGTGTGACTGTGCTGTGTCCGGGACCGCACCACCCACATGGTGTGGATGATGGATGGTTCACTGGGAACTGCTGAGCAAGAAAAAAAGCTGGACTGGAGTGAATGGGACTCTTCCTACTGAGAGGCTTGGATCAGCAGGTTTCCAGTGCAGTCAGACCCCTCCACGGTCCCTTCAAGCATCTCTTTCTTTTTATGGGATCACTGCTCTGCTGACAACTGCTCTTGGACCAGGAGCAAGACTATGCCTCTGCACAGTGCTTGCATTCCTGGTGGGCCTGCGCTGCTAAGGGTCATCTTCCCCCCATGCAGCCGTGTCATCCTTTCCTTGCCTATTCTTAGCATTTATTAGCCCCGAGAGCCTGCCTACAAGGATGCGAGCCTTCGGGGAGAACAAGCATCAAGCACGTCCCCGTCTTGACAGCTCAGCCGAGTCAGCTGGACCTCTGAGAAGTAGCCTTGGCTGAGCACCACCAACCATCATGTCAGCCACTGGAAGTCACCTGGGGCACTGCACTGAGGTGACAAGAGGCAGCTGTGAGTGAAAGATCAGATTAAAGCCCTCAGCACATCCACCCAAGGCAATGGGGCATCAGTTCTTGCAGAATTTGGACTGCCAAGGCATCATTCACGTGCTCCCCTTTGATCAGCTCACGCCAGGGATCTGCCGGCATCCCCCCATCATGAAATGAGACCTTAATTCCCTACATTTTTTGGTCCTTAGGTTTGACTTTTTTTTTCTTTTTTTTAAATTATTTTCATACGTTTCGGCTATAAATGTCTCCATAAAATAGGGCACCCATTAAAATGATTTGTTGTATGTGATTGTTCAGAGCACAGGCGTTGGTGGAAACTCACATGAAGTCCCAGTGCTTGGAGCTGTCAAGGCAATTACCCCCGAAATCCCATCCAGCTCAGCCTTGTACAGACAGGAACAGTAGCTCTCTTTCTCCGACTTGGCTTGAAAACATTCCTGTGGCTACTGATGGAGTCGGCAGAACGAAAGCCAGGCCATGGCGTGTCTGGGGGATCGCTGTGTGTCTGGGTGGTGAACATCTCTGCAGCTGCGGACATCAGTCTCTACAGCTTTATACAGCCCCAGGCCTCTTGAACCACAGGCTTTCCCACAGCCACCAGGCACTGAGCCACTTTTGGCTCTCTGAAGTCCTCTCTGTCTGCATGTTTCTTGCCTCTCTCATCCCTGGAATACTGGAGGCTGCAAGACCTCAGCAGCTATCAGGAGAAGATATCCCTACACCCCAAAGCAGATGGATAAGGGCTGCCAGCCAGGGGATGGGAGTCAGAGGGAATTATCCCCACACTATGGTGTCTCCACTCAATAGGGATGGATGCCCATCATTTTGGGAAGTCTCTCAAGAGCCTACTTGGCTGGTAGAAGCCAGGATAACCAGGAAATTCAAAGTAGCTCTGTCTGAACAGTTTGGGATGAGGATGGAAAAAGTGGGATGAAAAAGGTTGGTTAAATCTCTCAATGCTCCAGACTGTACCTTGAAGCTTGGCTGGGGGGATGCAGGAGAAGGAGCATCTCTGCAGGTAGGTGGTCCCCGTGGGGCAGGAGAACTCGGCGTAGTACACATGGGATTGGTCAGGGACACTGCAGTCAACAGGGTCACAAGTCACAGATCTGTCCCACTGTCCTGAGCTGCACATCAGCACCACCTCCTGCAAAGCAAGGCTCCGTCAGATCCCTGTAAATGAGCTTTAATCTACTGGTTTGCCACGACAGCAGAAAGGGTTGACCCAGATTTCAGGACAAGGAGAGTTTTCCCTTATTTTTCCTCTCCTAATGTGTGCTTTCTCCATGACTTGACACCAAGTCACGAAGCCCTTCACTATTCACGGGATGATTGTTTGGGGTGCGAAAGCAGTAAATGGCCTTCAAGGTAACACGGGAGTCACCTGCACCAGAGACCTTCTAATGCTTGGTTTGAGGTTCATTTAACCTCATTTACAAATCTTAATTACTCATCCTCTCTTAAACAACTCGGGGAGAACATGAGAACCTAATCCCCAGCTGTCCCACCACTAAACATGATCAACATGTGTCATGGGCTTCATCATAAAAGAGTGCTGGATGATGGTGTGCAATGAGCAACCTGCTCTAGTGAAAATGTGTCCCCAGCCATGGCAGGCAGGTAGGACTAGACAATCTGCTAAAGGTCCCTTTCCAAACCCAACTGTTCTATGATTCCCAATCCTAGACCCCTAACCCTAGCCCAGCAGTCCTCAGGCAGGGGTTGCAGACCAAAGAGGTGTCTTTCAACTGTTCCTGATGTTCCTTCGCTGGCTGAGTACAACCACGCTGCTCACACAGTCAAATGTGTGACCCAGCCAACACATTCTGACTGAACCTGGAAGAGGTTCTCTGAAGGACATCACTGCATTTAAGTCTGGTCCTCTTGGGTGCACAGCAGGATCACAGTGTAACTGAACCAGGTGGAGATGATGCTCAGGGAAGAGCTGTGCGTGTTTTCCCCAAAATGTCTCAAAGATGAGCAGGGTCACAAAGCCAAACCAGTAACATCACTGGAGGGCTCTGGCAGGGCACTTGCAAGCTGCCATCTGCTGTGACAGCCACATGGTGAAGTTCTGTCGAGAAGTTTCCCATCTCGCTGCCAAATGCAGGAAAACTGTCACCCGAGGCAGATTTGTTTCTTGCGGTTTCATTTCAGAGAATGGGAACATTTTGTTTTCACAGGGCATGGCTTGGCCCTCAGAGCCATGGGGCCGTGTAATTAATAACCTCCCTGCTGATGAGGGGCTGAGTGGCGCATCCCCAGCTTGCCCCGCTGCACTTCCCAGTGCCTACCTCTGCTGCAACGAACACCAATGGCTGCAGCACGGAAACCTGCCTGCCAGGCATCAGGAGCACTTGCAACTCTCCAGAAAAGCTCCACCCCGCTGATATGGCCTGAACCACCTCTGTCTGTCTCCAGTACATCCTAAGGATCGGCTCAGCCCCTGAGAGTCCTGTACCCGCTCCAGGAAACATCCTAAGGACAGGACACACTGTGCCCATCAACCTGCCAAGGTGACTGCCCAAACCCGATGCAGCTCAGCTCACAAGGACGCAACAGTTCCAAACCTTCTCCATCAACAGCTAAGAGCTGTGCTACACTTCTGGCTTTTACAGACCTTTGGGAAGGGAGATAAACCCTTTCATACTGACCTCTGTGCTGCCCCAATAGCGTGGGCAATGTTACTGCAACGCAGTACAAAGGAAGAACAGCTCTCCGCGCTGCCTCTAAATATAGTTGTACTGCAACGACTTCAGTTTCTCCTGAGCCACTAACTTCAGCTTTAAGAGAGAAAACATCCCAGGGATCTTTAACTCTCCCAGAAACACCCATTTGGAGAACAGAAATGTCTACCTCTCCCTTTGTGGGACCGCATCATCCTGGTTTGAGACGTCTCCTGCAGCAACTTTTAGCCTGGCTGAGCCATGGTCTGCAGGTAGCACTGAGCTGGGAGACCTAGGACTGTGGTGAGGGGTCTCCAGAGCAGGACCATCAACACAAGAGCCTGCTTTGTGCTGAAGTTTGTTGGAACAGTAGTGAGGAGGTCAGAGCTACAGGAACAAGATATTCTGGGATCACTGCAACTACCTGAGGATGGTTAAAGCTTTCTCAACTAACACTTGCTCCAAGGGGCTGCATGGCCATGTCCACTCTGAGGTGCACTCACCTGTGTGGAGCTGAGGCTCTTCCCGTTGCTGGAGCGAAGGACGAAGCCCTTTTCACACGTGATGGTGCACGCCATGTGTCTGGGGCTGTCGGAGGTACAGTTGAGGGTGGCAGCATGAGAAATCACCGGCTGCGTGCAGCTTCCTGACCTGGCACAGGCACCGTGGACACAGCTACAGAGAAGAGGAAAGGCATCAACCGTAGAGAGTACACCATTAGACTCACATGATTGCAGCCACTCACATGTGTCCTCCCATACGTACTCTGCTCACACATGTCTCTTGGATACTAGTGTTCGGGGACAGACAGTGGACAGCAAGAACTCTGCACTTTCCAAAGGCAAACTCTGCATTAGACAGCAGAGAATCGGCAATGGATTCTCCAATGGCAACGAAAGGTTTAGCTGGAGAAGAAACCTCTGCAGCTACTAGGGGACCATCCGTGAGATGTTCTTCAAGCTGCATGCAGTCCCCACCAGACCCAGCAAGAGTCGCCCAAGCTTCCTGCCCACCACAGCCTGTGGCAGAAGGAGAAGCTGAATGTGCTGACCAGACGTCTCCTCCATCCCACTCGTGTCACCTTCCCACTCTACTTTGATGGCACCTCTGCTCTTCCCACATGCTTTTCAAGCATGTGCCAGGCTCTTTTCAAGCACGATGCCAGGTTCTTTGGGATCAGGACTATCTCAAGATGCACCTGTCCAGCTCTGCAGACTCAGCTGTGGCCACTGAGCTGAGATGCAGCTAAAAGGAAGAATTGACCTCCTCTGTGCACCAACCCAAGGGACAAGAAGCCCCAGGAAAGCTTTCAATGTGTCACCTGTCCCTTGGAAATAAACAGCCCTCTCCTCACTGCAGCAGCTTCCTGCGAAGGACCAGTCATCAGGTACTGATTAATTAAGCACCACCAATACTCCCCATAATGAAGCAGAGTGCTGGCCAGAGGGCTACAGTCTCCATCAGTGAAACGCAGCCAGCGGATTAATTACCTGGGATGAAATGAGGCCGAGACACGGGATTGAGACAACAGCTTTGAAAGAAAAATGTCCTGCTTATCTGGTGGTCAGGAGGCAAAACCAGACAACAATCCTCCTGAAGCAGGGGCAGCTTCAGGTGGTCACTAGGGAGAGAAGGGAGGGAGCTGCACCCAAACATCTCCCCTCGGCTTCGCACGGGGCTGCCGACAGCTCTTGTATCTTGTGCACTGCCTTTCACCCAGGCAGGCACAGGCAGCCTTTGCTTTTGGCATTTGCTTGACCTCTTCAGCTGAGGATGCATGGATAGAAATCCCACAAGCAACACCCCAAAAAAAAAATTTTAAAAAGGCATAAAAAAAATAATTAAGTGCTGACACAGGCGTTAAGGGAACGCAATGTGCTTTTGACTCTGGACAAATCCACCCAGCCAAAGACACACGGTGGAAACCTGCAGGCCACAGCCCTGAATGAGCCGGTGGGCACGGGAGGGGACCACAAAGGAGCCCAAGAAGAAAGGGGCTGTTTTTTCAATGCAGACCTGTTTATGAAGTGAGAAATGGTTTCGGGGCAGCTGCTGCAAATTCTTTCACTAGCTTATATTTCCATTTGCTTCCTTTTTAAAGAATTTGTTTTATGAGCACAGCGTTTGTCAGGTCATTAGCTTCTGAGGGCATCTGGTACCAATTGTAGCTCTCTCTCCCCTCCCCTCACACAGTCACCTTCTCCAGGCAGCTGCTTTGCTCCCTGCCTGTGCCCCCAGCACCCACACACACACAGTTGTCCCCAACTCCACCTCTCCGTGATGGAACCACTGTCCTAAACTTCCTCATGTGTGAAAGAGGCCAAGTTTCTCCTCTTTCCACCCTTACTCTTGCATCCTTTCCCCTTCCTTTCCAGCCACAGGCATGCCAGCAGATGCAGCTGGTGCTCAGCATCCATCCTACCATGGTGCTCGGTGCCACATCAACATGCCATCGCATGCCTCTACCACTGGGTGCCTCTGGGCACATACAGAGGTTATCCAGCCAAATCATAGACCACATGTATGGAAGCAGAGCGTGGAGATGGGCGGTGGGGTTGCCACGCAGCTGTAGGCTACAGCGTAGCTAGATGGCACACTGGGACCCCACACCAGCTAACCTCACCTACTCATGATGTTGGGTTTGGTTATGAAGCATGTGCTCACTGCAGAGCCAGTTCAAGGTGGGGTGGTGGCACCCTCCAGACACATCAAGCCAGGTCAACTGCTTGGCTGGAGCAGCTCTGCAGAAGTTGGTGTGGCCAGGGCACATTGTCTAGGGCAGCCTTGGCAGTCCGAACAACGCTGTTCCTTAATAACAAGAATCGAAGCACTGATCCTTTCCAGCAGTACTGGGTACATTTTGGTTTTCCAGCAGTTCAGAAATGTTACCGGCAATGCTGGTGTAAAACAGGTTGAGAGCTGGGCAAATTTCTTAGTGTATTAATACACATGCAAAATACTGTATAGATTAGTTCTGTATAAGGGACTGGTAATAATAGGTCATAATATCAAAATCTTTCTTTTTATAAACACCACATATATATATATCTCCATGCACATATTCTTTATAGATGTATTTCAGAAATAATTAGCTTCCTCTTTGCCCCAAAAGATGACTAATTTAACATCATTTTCTCTGTGACTAACACCACCCTTATCCCACAAATACCCACTAGGTTTCAGCTTGGAAATGATCTGAGACCTATCGACTCAAGTTCTAAGAAGTTGTTCTCATCCTACACGTAGCTTTGAAGTCTGGTGCTGCTATTCCAGACTTGAAGAGGGGCTCACGTCACTGAAAAGTGTCCAATTTTCTCAAATACGTCAGTAAGCTTTAAAAAAAATATTAAAAATAAAATAAATATTATTTCTATCTACAAACTTTGCCTCAGTTATTTCATTTATCATTATCAGCATCATCGTGATTACCACTGCAATACTCCAGACCAGTACAGCCATGAGCCCGGTTGTGTACAAGTGCAAGACAAAGCAAACAAAACAAACAAAACAAACCAAAACAAGGAACTCACAAAAAAAAAAACAAAAAGCCCTGTGGCCTGGCCCCATGGTGACCCATGTGCCTTACCAGGATTGGGGTAAAGTGATGGAATAAATCACTGCTCTCTGCTGCTGGAGCAGCCTAACGAAAGGCTGGATGGGGAAATGGTGCAGTTAGCCCAGTTCTGATCTCAGCATGAAGGAGCTCTTTCTCCTTTTGATGATAAATGAAATTCCTGTATCGCAGCTGCAAACTCCAGACTTTTTCCCATTTCTGATTCAGGCCATATAAGATGTGGGATGTGCCAATGTTTTTATTTTTTTTCCCCTGCATGAAACGTCCAAGAAATTTCCATTTTTATCCCAGCATCTTCTGAAGCTCAAGCTAATGATTTGTCAACAACATTTTTACAAAATACTAAGGTTTTTCTCCTAACTTATTCCACGTCAGCACCAGTCTGCATGATCTTCTGGGCTTACCAAGTCCCATAACTCATATATCAAAGAAAGTTTCAGATCTAGAAATTTGTGAAATTCTGCCTAGCAATGGCCCTAACTGCTCTGGAATGGTAAGAGCTTTGTCCTGAAATGGGATCAATCCTATAAACTAGAGCAAATCTCATCAGAAAGATGAAGGATCCCAAAGCCAAGCCCAAAACAGTGCATCTGCCTAAAGTATAATAAACCATCCAGAGAATCATAGAATTGTTTGGGTTCAAAAGAACATTAAAGATGGTTTAGTTTCAACATCCCCTGCCATGAGCAGGGACATCTCCCACTAGACCAGGTTGCTCAAAGACCCATCCGGCCTGGCCTTGGACACTTTTGGAGGGGCTTCCACAGTTTCTCTTGGCTGTAGTATCTTCTGAAGCTTTAAACCCAAAGATTGCTACTAAAACAGACCTCATCATCAAGTTTCAACTCTAACAGGGGAAAACTCTTACGAGAAGTTCATCTCATGACACAAATTTTGGGGGAGAGGGGGATATGGGAGATGTTGATGGAAAGGCAAAGGCTTCAGCCAAACTTTCTACAGTTAAGTGTAGTCACTGCATATACTCTGGTTCAGTTGACACTGCAAGACTGAGAATCAACGTGGTAAAAGATGTTTACCCCAATGCGGACTAGCAAAAGTGAATAGCTAGGAAATGAGAAAAGATGTTTTGGAAATTCTTGGGAGTATCTCCCTTCAGGCATGTTTCTCGTGAAGGGAAAAGGTCTCACTTTTCCAGGAAATCTGATGACAACTATCCTTGTGGGAGCAGGCTACGTGTACAGACGCAACGATGGTGATGCATCTTGATTACGATCTTCATTGAGGTTGTCATCTCAAGAAAAGGTGTTTGCTTCTGCACATGACTCCCAAAGAAACTTGGCAAAAAATAACATCTCTGTGAGTCATCCACTGTCATCTACCTTGCAGATACAGAAAAGGTACCAGTAAGATGTCAAATGACCTGTTGCCCCTCTGTAGCCATAGCAGCAAAGATAAAAAAGGAAGCAAGAGCAGATCAGTCTTGATACCTTTCCAGACAGTTCATTTGCATGTTTTTTGTGTTGTTTTCTACATCAAAATAGACTCATAGAAGAACAGAAGATGAGGGTGAAGGCAACAGAATCCTAGAATGGTTTGGGTTGGAACAGACCTTAAAGATCATCTAGTTCCAACCCCCTGACATGGGCAGGGACACCTCCCACTTGACCAGGTTGCCCAAAGCCCCATCCAACCTGGCCTTGGACACTTCCAGGAAGGGGGCTTCTAAAACATCTCTGGCCAACCTGTTCCAGTGCCTCACCATCCTCAGAATAAAGAATCAAGTTTGGACTTCTCAGCTTCCCAGCCTGAGGCAGGACAGACTATACCTTCACTATTCCTAAGAGCAGCTGACCTGATTGCTTCCTGAAGGCAGACAGGTCCACCTGCGGATCATGAGACCAGCATGTAAGTGGGATTTATCTCCAGTATTCCTCAAGGGTGCATATTTCAGCTACCCCAAACATCACCTTTATCCATATCCCATCTCCACAGCAACACCATTTCTCATTTCTGTCACCTCCTATCTTGTCCAGAAGAATTCGCTTCTGATCCACATCCACCACCGAGATAGATGTAGAAATAGTGGAAGGATTTCAAAAGGGAGCTGCCAGCAGAAGCTGTAGCTGGACTGCAAGACTTATGCTATAAGATTTAAGGAGGGAAAAAGTATTTATCATGACAGAGAGGAGACAGAGAGAGGATCTGATTGCATTGTACAGACACATGTGTACAGAAGCCATCTGCTGGCGAGAGGCACTTAGACCTTTCTGACAAGGGCACAGTGAAAGCAACAACTTTCATCCTGAAATCAGAGGCAACTACTCAGCAGAGAGGGTTATAAGAGCAGCAGGAGAGATGGTGGATTCATTACCTCCTGCAGCCTGTGACATGGGGTAAGAGAGCCTCAGAAGGACATGTTCAGTCCAGTTTCTGTGAAAAAAGGCAGTGCCTGTACGTGACACCTTCCAGATGGACAGTGAAGTCACCAGTTAGAAGCAAATAAGTCCCACAGCACAGCCTTGGCCACCACTGCCCATCAGTCAGTCAGGGAACAATAATAGCACCAGAGGTCAACAGGCTTTGACGTGAGGGGTGATGCACCTTGACAGGTCTCAAGGGCATAGGCGAAGGCCAAGGTGAGCCCCAGGGAAGATGGTGATCAGGATCATGGGCTTCGTTCTTGAGAGGTCTTTTCCCTCCAGGCCAAGGAGAGAGGATGTGCATGGTGCAGTAGAGACACAATGTGCTCTCATGGGGTTTGTGCTGTACCCAGGAGACCAAGTTTGCCTGGGAGAGGCAGGGAACAGATGTCCAGGTGTATGTGCTGTCCTCACAGCAGACAACTCTCAGCACTGTCTGGGAGGGCAGAGAGGGGATGGAGGCACATCTTGACCTGAGCACTTCTCAGCCCAGCAGGCGTGACTTGGGATCCTAACGTAAGGGTCCGTCCACTTTGTGCACTGTGGGGCACCTTAGGCCAGAGGCAAGGAAACGAAACACCAACATCTCTAACTCAGAGCCCCTGGAGATTTCCACACCAGCACACATGAAGTTCGCATGGATTGACTCTGCATAAATTTGGTGCCTGATAGAAGGAAAACAAATCAAAAACCTGCTTGGGAAATGGTCCTCTTCTCTTTGCTGAAGAAAGTTTAGCAATTGAAAAAAAAAACAAAAACAAAAAACCAAACCCAAAATCCAAACCATAAACCCCCTCCTCCATCTGATTTTCTCTCCCCAACACCTACTTTCCACATAAAAGGAATCCAAACCAGGCTCCCCTCAATGCATTAAATCCGCTTTTAGGGGGCCAAAGGAGGGCACTCGCACAGGAAATAAACACACCACTCAGATTGCATTTTGTATCACCTTTCCTGTTAACTCGCTGAGGCATTTCCCAGCATATGCTAAAGTAAAATGAAAACAGGCTAAAAATAAAGATCAAGCTAAAAATAAGCATAACAGAGGAAACTAACTCCGTTGCCCTGATTCAGTATATAGCCTCTACCAAGGCAAACAGGAGGGGCTACAGCTCAGTTTTAAAATACAAAGAGAAAGATGAAAGTTGGAGAGTTTGAGTTTCCTGGGTGGAAATTCACTAAAAAATAAGTCTGATTTCTGCTTGACCTCATAAGGTTGTGGCTGGGGACAGAAAGCAGCCCCAAGCTGTCAGCAGAGACAGCAGAGAGGGGTTCCCAGTACTGGTAGTGACCGAGGGACACCATGTTGCTTTGGTCTGCAAGTGCTCTTCCAACCTTCAGCTCCTCAAGCAGGTCTGAAAGCAGAAGGCATTTTTTTAATTTAATTTTTTTTTTCAAAACCGGGATGCACTTCTCTAGCATCAAACGCCTGACCTGGAGATGGCTGCATTTCGTCGGCAGAAACATCATCTCACTTTTTTCTCCAGCCTGCAAAGCACTTTGAGATCCCTTCGAGATGAAAGATGCTGCAGAAATACCAAGCTGTCATATATTTATTATTTTGGCAACGAGCATCTCTAGACTTGAAGTCAGGAAACCTCATTTCTTTGTTGCTGTCCCTTTCTTGGGTTATTTTAGGAAAGCACTCGCATGCACGTATTGCGTACATGAGGCCGGGTGCGTGCAGTCAATTCAGTTCTCTGCAGGAGTAACACTGATCTTCTGAGATCTTCTACAGTTGAATGTCTCTAAAGCTCTTAAGATTTTATATTCCTGGATATTTAGAGGGGATTTTTTCCCCCAAAGTCCATTTGCCTTGCATGAAATAGATTATTAGCCCTTAAAAATACTCCTGTACATTAGTTTTGGAGATCAAATGTATTTAAAAATATGATACAGGGGGAGATACTTGGATGTTTCTTGACTTGCCACAGGCAGACCTTTTATTATTAATGAGGCTACTGGAGGCTGTAAACCTACCACCCCTCTAAACATTCAAGTCTTTTTTCCAGAAAACCAGTACTATAAATAACATTTCCTACTCTGAAAACTCTAGGGATCTGTTTTACTCTGAGGGTGTGCTACGGGCATGTGTATAACCTGCAATTCAGTGTATCTCAGGCAAGCCAAGGCCAGGAGAAGCCTGCAGGATGGGGAAAGAGGAGGAGGAGAAGACCTGAGGATGCTGCTGGGTCCTGCCATGCCCATGCAGAGGGAACATCATGCAGCTCTGTGCGCTCCCGTGATAGGGGAACTGGCTTCTACTTCAGCTATGAGGTTTTTTAGAGGGAGAACACCTATTTTCCTCTGTATTTCTCCCTACGTGAGTTTCTCTCCATCCATAGGCATTGCTCAGCTGTGTTCGGTCACAGCCCGGTCCTTGCCATCACTTCTGAGGGGGAGGGGGAAGCTCTGGAGCAGTGAGAGCACAGCGTTATTTTAAAAGGATGAGAAAATGTAATTGAAAAACCACATCAGTTGGCCGGGGTCTTCGAAGCATGTGTGTACATAGCTGTAATGGCTACCAGGAGGAAACAGACTGCATTTCAGGTGGACGCTGATCCTTTAATGTAAGGCTGAGAATAATATTTACATGCTGACTCACTAAGATTTATGTTTCTGTACAAATCACACATCCACTTGAAAAAAAAGAAAGTAAAAAAGCAACTGCAGGGTAGTCATGGCTTCCAGAACTCTACATAAATCAATTGTACCGTGATCCCACAAGCTTTTAGGTACAGACACACACACTCATTCATTACCAGGGAAGCTCATCCATCCAAGGGCCATCAGCAGAAGAAAAATAACAGCAGCAGCAATGCGATGTCCCTATCCAAAGTCCTTCGCTCAAAGCCCTCATAGCTCCAGAAAACCTTGGACCCAAACCCCAGGATTCCCAGTGGCGCGTTTTAAGCGACCAGCTGAACCAGAGCCCTGGCTTGGCATGCCTGTAACTTCAGGGAGCCAAAGCAAAGCCAGGCTTGGGAGGTTTGCTTGTGGTCAGCCCCATTACCCCTCCAGGACACTGCCCCATCCTTGCCTTCCTCCTTGGGTCCACACCTCTGCTCAGCACACTATTATTTAGTGTATTTTGGATGGCAGCCCTTCTCTGTCCCTCAAAGAGCAGCGCCCGCTCTGCAAATGTCACCTCTCATTTGCTGCTTTATGAACGTCCTGGTTTTTGCCTAGCAGAACCAATTCTGAAAAACAGCAGAGTCTGCGAGCACCAAACACTGGTGAAATGCCATCACTACCATTATTGTTATCGCCACATTATGACGGGGACGTGGTGAGGAGCCTGAGAGAGATGACACAGCACAGAGAGGAGGAGAGCTTTGAAACCATCTCCCACAACATGAGGAAGGCTGGAGTGGATGGAGGTGGAGCTTGTAGAGCATATGCTGAACAAACCAATGTTTCAATTTCAAGAGCAGCCATCACCGACAACTCCTCAGCAGAGGGAACTTCATTTTCCCCCCAAAGAACAGCTATTTAATGCCTTTTTGTGCAGATATACGGGGAACACACAAAACCTATTTTCCGTCTTTTCCACCCCACAGCAAGAGGAGCAAATCAAGACTCATTACACTAGATTTACCAACACCTCAAAAGCCACCTGAGAACAGTCACAGAACAGTCAGTAGATAATCCCAGAATTGAAGCACAAGGCCCCCCTCTCGGTACCCTGTGTCCCCGTTGGAAAGTGCCCTGAGGAGACCATACCTGTAGCGCTGATGGCCACGTCCCTCCTCGTGTTGCAGGAGGCAGGTGGTGGGGTCAGAGGAGCCAAACTGAGCTGAGGTCCGTAAGGCTACAGCTGCGATGCCCACAAGTGGGGAGGAGAAGTTGAGCAGCACTGAAGCAGCCCGGTGGGATGGGTCGCCATGGCCGTGGGTCACGTTGATGACGAGGGGGTTGTGCTGGCATGACAGCTCATATGTCCCTGTGAGATGGAGAAAAGAAAGAAGCCACCAGCTCAGCTTCAGGGATATTTTCTCTGCTTTTGATTTACCTCTTCTGCTCCACCCCACATCCCAACGGATGGGAAGCAGAAGATGCTGCAAGGGGGGATAGGGGGCAGCAGCATCGGATCTAGCAGGAGATTAAAGCAATGGTGGAGG